AAATTGTGTTGAGGCACTGTCAGAGCAAGGAAAACTAAGGTTAAAAGGTATAGCTTCAGTTTAAATTTAAATCTTCCAGTTCTGATCTAAGATGGGAGAAATCTATATTTAGATTATGTGATTAATAACACAGGCTTTGAAGTTCTGTGACATCCTTTGAAGAAACTGGGATGTCGAGTCCAAGTGGCTTTAACCAGAAGCTGAACTTAGTAAATAAAGCAACTTTCACAAATTTGATCATCTCTCTCCCTGCTTCTCCTTTGATCTCTACATTTCAGTGTAGCACCTTTTAGATGCATTTGTACACAAAACACTGTCCAAAGTTGCTCCCCCACCACACTCTAGCCACAAGCTTGTTTTGACAGTCACATACCATATGGGCTAGTTTTCATCATGCTTCCCTGCCTACACTGCAGTCAGATGAGATGTAGTTCAGTATGAAGTAGGAGAAGCTCCAAGATCAATGAGCTTTATTTTTTTTTTCTTTTAGCTAATATAGCTATTCTTGCAGAACTTAAGACATGTGTATATATCTGTAGATATGGATATTCATACAAAGAGGAAGCAAATATGTGATTCCTTGAGAAGTTGAAAAATATGGATGAAAAAGGAAGCAAAATAAACACTTTTCTTAACAAGAGCAAAGAAGAGTGAAGTATCAAGGAGACAGAGATAAAGAGAGGGAGGAAATTAATTCTCCCTATAATCCAGGTAGCAGAGGTGACCCTGGCAATGAAGGCAGTGTGTCTTGACATAGAAGAGGGTAGCCCGTGGGGAGGGGAGGACGCATAGTTGGGCTGGAAGCCCCTGTTGAACCTGCGCATCCCTGTAGCAGTTGTCATCTGAACCAGTTATATGAAGCTAATTACAGGCATCTCTGCATTTATAATACTGTATACACACAGAGAGTTAGTGTATAAATACATTTTGTTTCCAGTTATCCTCTTTGGCTTTCAACACCTTCTAGTTTTTTCTGCCCTATTGCACCATTTCCATACACCAAATTATTCCATGTACATAGGCTACAATGAAGATTCTTTAAATTGGTGTCACCACGAGAAGTTTTGTTCTCCGTTTGTTTTTCTGCAACCTGATTCTAATGTCTTCCTGACATAAGCATCCACAGAGGGTGTTTCTCATTTAGAGAAGCACATAAATAAATGAAAAAAAAATTACTATTCTTGCAAGCTTTGCTACTTCTTAATCATTATTGTAAATGCTGGCAGAGTTGACTGCAACCTAAGCGGGAAGATGAAAACATGACTCTGATGTGATACAATGCTAATGGGACAGAAAACCCAGCTTTGGATCTCATGGTAACTCCATGCCTGATAAAACAGCCTTACCACTGAACTAATAGTCAGGCAGTGTTTATGTGACTATGAATCTAATTTATATGAACGAATTGCATTTAATAACAGGACTTGGATGTGCATGCTAGTTCCTGAGCATTACAACTTCTCTTAAAAAGGATTATTCTAAGGGAGATTCTAACTAGCCACGCCATAGTGTTGCATGCATGTTTTGTTTATACTAATAATTTAAATAAAGAATATGATGCAATTACGGATATATATTAAAATAGCTCCCCATTATCTATCTTTTCATATTGCAATGCAGTCATATGCTTAGTTTGCTCCCACCCAAAATTCTCATGCAGTTATACTTTAATATGAAAAGAAATGTTGTCAAGAGCAGTTATTATCACACATCAGAATACTGTATTAGCATTCACTTTTAATAGATTAAAATGAAAGATTTTGAAATCTGCCCTTAATGTTTCTGAAGGAAATTAGAGACACATTGGGAAAGCTTTAGATGAAATGTCATATTGTATATATACACCATACATAGGTTCATAAAAGACAATTTGTTTAACTGCCTGCCTTTGTGTTTCATCTATTGTTTGCATGAATCATCTGCAGGTTAACTGATGCTTGTGTAGTTTGTTTGCTTGAAATCAAGCACAGTGGCTGGGGAAGTTTCTAGCAGACCTGGGCTGATGAGTAAAGTAAGGCATAGAGTATAACCTGGAAGAAAAATTTGGTTGTTGGAGGCATCTGTGGGTCATATCTGCTCATCTTTTGACTCACAGTCTGACCCAGATAGATTGCTTGAACTGCTGTTGCGTAAATCAGCTCACTTGAAAAGTTGAATTCAAGGTGGATGTAGTAGTATGTGTGAAGCTGTCCTGGAGGAGAGTTGCTGAGATATACCATGCTGCAGAGCCTCTGTGTTACAAAGCAATATGTAAAAAGGTGACGTTTCAATGTTCACTTGTAGTGTTTAGGAGCTTGTTTTGGAAGCTTTGGATATACATGGGAGAACAGGCAGATCTTCTTTGTTTTGATGTGAGATAGTCATGTCTGTGCAAGAAGGGCACAGATCATCTGTTTCTGAGTTTCTTGTTATGGAATCCTTGTTTTTCTTTTGTTTTTTCATCTGTATTCCACACTTCTTTGGTAGCTGGGAAAAGAAATAATGAATAAACAATTAAACATCGAAGTAAAGGTTTTAGTTTAATTTTGTTTACAAGCAAGGACAGGTGGCCAAACATTCAAAAGATGGAATTATCTGAAAGGCTTCATAAAAATTCTTAAGTCTCAGGCTTAATGGAAGGCAAAAGAACTTGAAAAAAAACCCTGAACTCTTATCTAGCCATTAGGCAGAAAAAGAAATTTCTTCATGTTCTTTGCAATTAAACATATGCAACATGTTTGAATTACAGCAATGTTTGCAAGGTAGTTGTCTAGCAAATATATGAGGATAATGAGAGAAATTCAAGGTAGAAGACTCAAGGAGTCATGGTTTCCAGGACAAATAGGACTACCATAACCTGCCAGCATAACTGTCCTGTCCATAGGATTTCTCATAAACATGATGTGGAATGCATCTTTTCTGAAAAATATATCTGACTTCATTTTAAACTGTCTGAAAAATGATGATTTTGCTGTTGACATAATGCTTAATTACCTTGTAAAGTATGAACTTGTGTGTTATTTCAGAACTGAATTTCTGTAACTCCCGTTTCTCAACACTAAATCTCATTATACCACTGTCAGGAAAGCTGACATCTTGCTCTCAGACATCTTTCCAGGGTGTAAGTACCAATCTCAGTGATCAAGGCACCTTTTGTCTGACAAGCTTAGATAAGTTGAGCTCCTGTAGGCCTTGCACTGGAGCTCTTGGTTTCCAACTGCAGGCTATGAAATCTCCCTTCAGAGAAATTCACCTGTCCATCTGAGTAGAAGAAATAATGCATTGTCCTGTCCTTCTACTGTGCAAACAGTCTGGACACTAGCAAATTTTCTCCAAAACTCTGCTTTGAATGCTAATAAATAAGAGCATTCTTGAATGAGAAAGCTGAAAAAGATGGCAAGTGTAAACAAGAAGCAGTAACAAAACAACCATCAATCCCTGTCTTTAAGGTCTAATCCAAATATCTCTATTCCATCTGACTTTCAAAATACTCTATTCCCTATAGCAGATCTGTGCCTGTGGCATAATTCTTTCCCACCCTTGAAACTAGAACTTCTGACAGACTGTGACTATCTATTAAATAACTGTAGCTAGGAAGGGCAAACTATCAACTGCAGTGCCAGGAACTGGCACTTGTTCATTTGTGCTGCTGCTGTTACAAGCCTTGTAGCCTCTGGCAAAGAGAGAGGATGAACAGCTGGAACCCGAAACCTCTTCAGCTGCCTCAGCAAAAATTGGTAGAGCTATCTGCCAAAGCCACAGTTTGACTTTGCTACCCTGGTCTAGTTCAATATATTGTGCCTTGCAGGTAGAATATCCCAGGAAGCTCAACACGGATTGAGACATGTCCATAGGATATTTCACTGCCACCTTCTGTTGGAGCAGAGAGAGCTCAGTAGCAAGGACTTCTTGAAAATGGTGCCGCGTCATCAAAAATGATGGCTGGCTTCCAAAATATGTCACTCCAAGCATTCGCAGAAAGGGTCGGGTGAAAGTTATTTCAAACAGACCTCGTAACAGCTGGAAATTTGTGGTTGATGACTGGGGCTGGGGATTCCTGAAAAGATTTTCCTTACCTCCTGAGCAGACACTGGGACTACAGTTGCCCTGTTGGTACTGCCACTTGAATGGGTGTGACAAGAGTTCTGTGGGGACATTTTCCACATTCCATAAGAAATCAGGAGTCGTGTACATCTTTCTGTTGGTACAGGATAAGACTTTGGTTCTGACAGGTTTTTTCCATATAGACCTTCAAATTCTAATAAAATCCTTTATATCCCATTTCTGTTACTTCTTAACTGTAGCTCAGGGGAGAAAAGAGCAACAGAGGAGGAGGGGAAGGGGGGTGGGGAAGAAAAGCTTTGTATGCATTTCCAGGAATGGTATTTATCATTGAGAGAAGGGTATTTTTTCAATTCTGAATATGAATGTTTTCTTTATTCACACATCGAGCAAACTCTCCTCTTACACCATTATACCATACAGTCAGGAGCTATACTGTTTCATACATGCAGATGTCTGAAAGCTGTCTGGAAATATATTTCCTACTTTCTGATACAGGAAGATTTTCATAGGAGGGGTTTTAATTTGTTTTTAAATTTCAACTCTTGCTCTTCTCAGAAGCTAAAGTTGGAATCCATTAAGATGCATTTTAGTGCAGTTTATATTCTCATCTTCCTTTTCTCAGTAACTCTGCAATTCACTTAGTACTTCATTACAACCAACAGCAATATGTATACATGGTGCACAAAATGAGCTATTTTGTTTTAAAACAGATTGCAGATGAAAGGAAACCATTCATTTCTTGCTTGCTAGCTGTAATTACTAGAGAGCTAATTACTCCAAATCACTGACATCCAGGGTCAATAAGGATGACAACAGGAACATCAAAGACAAGATACACACATAGAATTAAAAATCTCTAAAACCAGGCTGTAGTATTACTTTATGCCTACTGTGATTTTGCAGCCAATGCTGAAAAATATTCAAGTTTGCTGAATGTTTACTATTATTTCCTTTGCAGTTTGACGGCGAGAACATGTATATGAGCATGACAGAGCCGAGCCAGGACTATGTGCCAGCCAGCCAGGTGGGTTAATTAATCTTCTCTGCCTTGTTTCAAATTGTAATTAAACAAATTCAAAGAGTTGCATTGCAAATGAGTGGCACTATCAGTAACTGCTGCAATCAGGAATAATCATAATTTATAAACAAAGCATTTAAGCCTTGTTTCCAGTTAATGAGATAGAGCTGATAAAACACCAGAGTTGGCAATTGTTGAAAGATACTACCTTGTTTCCTCTCCAGAATGCAAGCAGCTGTTTTGCCAGCATGATCTTCCTAAACAGTTGTTTTACCTTCAGGAAATAAAGTCTTTACAGGTGCAGGTTATTTGTTTATCTGACTGCAGACAAGTTAATCATTATAAGCTACATGTGTCACAAATAGCTTTAATTATCACTGCTAGGCCAGTTGTAGTTGAAGAATTTCAATTTTAACACTGATTTTATGGCTGAGGAATGTTACCAATGTTACACCATTAGCAATAGGGCTAAGGCAATGACTTAATCTTCCTTGCAGACCAAAAGGTTTCATGTGAAGTGGCTTCTTTACAGGTATTTTTAGTCCTTTCCCTCTTGGCAAATGCTACACGTTAAATTCTAATATTAGGTGTGTATTTATAAATCTTTCACTTTTCCACTTGAACCCTAAGATACTAAAGATTTGTAAAAATTGAAAATTGTTGTTGCTTCTTAAAAAAAAATAATTTTTTTTAAACTTTGGCTTGTCTACCTGTAGCTACATCAATATGTAGGGGAGAAATTTTCATTTCTTTCACATGTTTCGGTCACTTTATTCCACATTAGTAAGTGATGGTGATGGTCGTGGCAGTCAATTAGCTTGTGTCAGAAAATGCCCTGGAGTAATCAGAATTGTGGTCTAGGCCATGCAATATCTTGGGCCTGGTAGTGGCTAGTTTAGTATACCTCTTTCTGTCAGGACTAGTAGAATTATACGAAGAGCTTTCGTTAGGTGGGAACTAAGTTTGCATGCATAGTAAATGTGTGTAGTTGAGCACAGTGTCAATTAGGAATCAACAGCTTGGGAAAATGACAGTGCATTCAAAGCTGAATGTCCTCATGAAGTAGGGTTTTTCACATAGCTATGTTGGTCTAACTAATCATGATGTGCAGTTGTGGTTTCATTTGGGGGCAGAGATGCAGGAACTTGTATGAGATAAGCTACATTGTTCAATCCAAAAAGACCCTCTTTAAAATGTTCCACCATGTTGCTTCCCAGCCTTCTGTTGCAGTTATTCTGAAATACCTTTAGAGACCAACTATACTTTGCGTTTAGGATTTGTGCATGATTGAACTTATTCAGCTAAGAACCCTCCAAGATCCAGAGGTAGTTTAGAATAGAACTGTTTGATTAAAAAATGAAAAATTATATTATTAATTTTTCTCTAACCATTAATCCAAAAACTGTACTGACAAGTTTTAGTATTACTATTAGATTAAAGCAGCCTAGTATCATCTCATTTATGCCTTCAGGGTTTTGAAGTGCAAGGGCTAATTGAATTTGTTTGAAACAGTGGAAATACAAACTCTGTGAATGATTGCTGTTATAAGGCAGCTGCTACCTTTCAGAGAATCATTATGTCTGTCTTAAATAGTTTTGAATAAAGAATTGCAAATCCACATTATACATCAGAATTATTTTTCTTCTGTTGATATTTTTGTACTGTGCATGCATGTAATTTAAATAATTTAAATGGCATATTGAAAAATTAAGAGCATAAGTTTTAATCTTTTATGCAGTTTCTACATGTGCTAACAAGGCCCAGATCCTCAAAGATATTTATGCAACTAACACTTACTGGTTTCAGTGGAAGTAAGGTGCTTAAAGAACCTTTAAAGGGTCCAGGTCTAGATATTTAAGTACATATTACTTTGTCTTCAAGGAAAAAAGGAAATCTATCAAATGTGACATTTCTAAATTCAAAGATGACAGAAAACTGTTTCTAAGGACTGAAACAAATAAAAGACTTAGGAGATTTAAAATCTCACTGTGGCAAAGCTGAACTCTTTGGTGTCTGGCTCCTGGGTAGAGTGTAAAACCCAGAGGCAGGTGTCAAAACACTCTGCTGAGGGATCTGTTTGGCAAGGTGTAGCTCAACAGCCAGGCACAGTATCTTAAGTTATTACTGAATGCACACTGGTCAAACAGCCTCCTGTACCTGTTTTCAGAGAAGCTGTCAGCTGTCACATCCTTCTTTCACAGAATCACCAAGGCTGGAAAAGACTTCTAAGATTGTCAAGTCCAGCCTATGACCTAACACCACCACATCAGCTAGACCATGGCACAAAGAGCCACATCCAGCCTTTCCTTGAACACATCCAGGGACGGTGCCTTCCCCACTTCCCTGGGAAGTCCATTCCAATGTCTGATCACCCTCTCTGTGAGGAAGTACTTCCTAATATCCAACCTAAACCTCCCCTGGAGTAGCTTCAGGCCATGCCCTCTTGTCTAGTTGCTAGCTGCCTGTAAAAAGAGCCCAGCCCTCACCTGACTACAGCCTCCCTTCAGGTAGTTGTAGAGAGTGATAAGGTCCCCCCTGAGTCTCCTCTTCTCCAGGCTAAACAACCCCAGCTCCCTCAGTCTAGCCCTGTAAGACTTTCCCTCTAGTCCCTTCACCAGCCTTGTTGCTCTCCTCTGGACCTGCTCCAGCACCTCAATATCCTTCTTGAAGTGAGGGGCCCAGAACTGACATAGGACTTGAGGTGAGGCCTCACCTGTGCTGTGTGCAGGGGGAGAATCACATCCTTGCTCCTGCTGGCCACACTATTCCTGATACAAGTCAGGATGCCATTGGTCTTCCAGGCCACCTGGGCACACTGCTGGCTCCTGTTCAACTGGTTGTCAACCAGTACTCCTAGGTCCCTCTATTTTGGGCTGCTCTCCAGCCACTCTTCCCCCAGTCTGTAGAGCTGCCTGGAGTTCTTTTAACCCAGCAAAGGGTGTACCTGTCCAAGCCATGGATTGCTAGCTTCTCCAGGAGGATGCTGTGGGAGACTGTGTCAAAGGCTTTGCTGAAGTCTAGATAGACCATATCCACAGCCTTCCCCTCATCCACTAGGCAGGTCACCCAGTCATAGAAGGAGATGAGATTAGTCAGGCAGGACCTTCCTTTCCTAA